GTGTGTGTGTGTGTGTGTGTGTGTGTGTGTGTGTGTGTGTGTGTCTGCAGGAACAAAGGCATCTCCAGCCCCACCGCTCGCTTCTTGTGGTTCTTCCAGACCTTCCTGTTCGGCTTCGCCTCCCTCGGCCTCCTCTTGAAGTACGATCCGGAGCGACCCAAGCAGCGCTGACCTGAGGGGCAGGAGGCGGAGCCTAAAGGCACTTCCTGGTGCGTCTGGTGCTGAGATCAGAACAGCTGAGTTTTGACTTTAAACTTTTAAAGTGTTTAGTTTTCTTCAAACACTAAAAATATTTTAATAATAAATCAGATTAACGGTGCAATAAAACTGATCCTGAAGGAAGTAATTGTTTACAGATTAGTTTAATTTTAGCTGCTAACTGATGATGATGATGATGATGATGGTGATGATGATGATGACAGACACATTCCGTTTTTATTTTGACCTATATGAAGTGTTGAGTCCTAGTTTTAACAATAAAGAGTCATTTTCAAGCTGCAGTTTGTTTAACTTCACTGTTTATTCAGATCATGTCAGAACCAGAACCAGAACCTCTTTTTAAAAAGACTGAAACATCCCTTTAATGACTAAACTCTGACTATCAGACCATATATATGACACGGTTCTGACAGAAGTCCGGATCAGTCGGGTGAGGTTCTGGATGAGGCAGCAGAACTGGGTCGTGGTGTTCTGGGTTTAGAAAGTTAAGAGCATTAACTCATCTTAACCGACCCGTCTGAACTCATCGACCAGGTCTTCACTCACTTCCTGTGAGAAGAAAACTTCTGCTTCACTTCCTGTTTTTCTAACATGTTTGTTTATTTGTTTATTTATTTATTTATTTATTTATTTACAGACTGATTTATTTACAGGATTTAAATATAAAATAAACTTGATTCAGGGTTAAAGGGTCAGTTTAGTGTTTTGGACTAACAGAAGAAGAATTCATAGTGATCACTTCCTGTTTACATGCTGCTCAACACGTCCTGACCCGGTCCAGAAGAACCACCTCCTTTCAGAACATCTGTGGTTCTGATCACCGGTCCAGCCAGCATATGGAGGGGTACCGCTCATTCAGAGTCTTCCTCAGCTGAACACTCTGGGTCTTATCTCTGGTTTCCACGACACACTCCACCTGTCCACACACACACACACACACACACACACACA